GAGTAGCCAATAGCATTGTAAATAGTCTGGGTTATTTGGGGGTTCCAGTGAGGCTCTCTTGACTGACAACTCAATTAGATGTAACCTATTTCTAACACCAGAAGCTTCATTTGTTGACAAGAGATGTTCAACTACAGCTCCTTCTCCCCTGTTATTTGATTTTCTTTAGATTGCCTTCATGCATGTATATGTTTTAGGAAGCTTATGAAATTTCATATTTTTGATGAATGGAAATTTCTTGTAGGTTTCTGACCCTTTCTCTTTTATCCAACCCAGGACTATTGGCTACCTACTTAAAAAAACTTATCCTAAATATAAACATAAAATGAGTTGACTTACTCAAGAAATGTTTAAAAAATCAACTCAGATCAGTCTGGTATTTTATCCTAGTCTCAGATAAGGCTGTGTGAACAGCAGATGAGATGCACTTACTCCTAAGGAAATACTCACAAACATTTCTCTTAATGAGGGCCTGGAGAAATAGCTGAGGAGAGAAACCTTAATGGGAGGTATTCCATCTTGAAAGATTAACATATAAACAGGTACTAAACCAAACAAACCACGAATATTTAAGCTGTGAAAAGAAAGAAAAATATATTCTAAATCTATACTAAAAGTAATGCCACGTCGCTGTGTAGAACTCCAGTGAGGGTTGTGGAATGAATCTTTAATGGTATCATTTATGCTTGTCCCAGTGCACTATGTTCACAATGAGAGCAACCTACAAATCTTGATGTACCATTTTATTTGCTCAGAGAACTGGCCACCATCCCGCAGAGCAGCCACTGTAAATTAGAAATATATTCTGTTTGGTTTGAGCTTTGAGCACAACACATTTGGAAATTTATGAAGTTGCATAAAAGCACACAAAATGCATTTCTGAGGCAGTTTAGCCCCATGGCTTTCTTCTGGACTTGAAAGTCAGACAGGGAGGAACTGAGTATGTTAAATATGCCACGGGTCTGTGCAGAGGCTCAGGATAATTCTACCGAAACGCTGCCTTCTATTTCTTGTTGAGTGGCTGGCAATCACTTCCACACACTCCAGTGGATCCCTAACCTATACAAGGAAACATGAATCCTAAGAAACAGTGATTCTCACTGTGTGAACATGCTGATGATATGCTCATTCCTCCTTTGGCTACATAATGTTTGAAGTCAGAGAAACCCCATTTTAGGTGCAAAAATACATGGTATAGAAATTTCTAACATGAGAAACTGCTGAATCACAATATTCATCTGGAATTTCACTTGTATGAAAATGTGTTTTGCTAAAAGTGATAAAGACCTTGAGCTTGTTTTAACTTTGAATTCATAATTGTTTTACATCTAAATCAAATATAGATGTCACCCAACTTCCAATGAGACTATGTCCAAATAAAACCATTATAAATGGAAACTATCACAGACTAAAAGTACCTTTACTGCATCTACTATACTGCTGCCCATTGGACAACAACCACATACTGTACTGAAATGTATTGATTGTTTGCCCTTGTCATTGTGGTGCTGAGGTTAACTAGAAGCTGCTGATCACAACATTGCAAGAGAAAACATAATTCTGCATACCATTGTCACTGGGAAGGGCTCAAGTTCAAAGTACTATTTCCAGCTTGTGGTCCACTGTAAATGGAAAATTTTAGGGTGAACCTTTAGAGACTCTCTGTACCAATTTTGGCAGTCTAGATTTGAAATTTCCTTCCTGATTGATGAGCATCAAAACAGCTATTTTCCTAGGGTATAACACTATGAGAGAATATTATTTATATTTTGTTTTCACACAATTACCCCTGAAACATATATACAACATATTGAGAGGGCAAGAAAGAGAGAAAAAAAGAGAGTGAGAGAACACTCTAAATAGATTGAAGCCTTGATTTCTTATAAAAGACTCAATTTCACACAAATAATTAGGTAGCTGAGGAGGGCAGAAACTTATTATCAAAAAAGACAGTCCTAAATAATTAAAAACCAGACTTGGAAAAGACAAAAAGAGAAAACTATTAGCAGATAACTTCCCTATTTTGGAAACAACAGTTTCCAAATATAAGTACTTCTAGGCTGAGAAGGAGGGAGGAATTAAGATAGAAAAGAAAGTGACAAAAACTAAAGTAAATTCATACTTTTTCAAAATATGTAAATGAAACTCATGTGTCACAGTCAAAATAAAGGAGTATTGATGAAAACAAAATCTCAAGAGATAGTTTCTTGAAGTTATCAAATGGGGTATAAAACACTAATATTAAAAATTGGAAGACAGTCAGAGCATGACACAGTGGAATATGTCAGTCTAGCATGAATTATTTTGAGCTGAAAGCAACTGAGACTCTGACTCATCCCTCATTAGCCTGAAAACAGTACATAAATTTCTCTTTTGGATGTGTTTTCTGACATCTTTTCTACCTGGAAGGAATGACAGTCTTTATACCTTGAGAGATGATGACCTAAGGTGGACCTGCACCGACATATACAAGAAAACATTGATGAAGGACCTGGGATCTTCTATGGGTTGCTCCTGCCAGATGCATATATGCACACATTTGTTTCCCTTCAGTTTTCTACCATGGAAAGCCAAAGGCGTTTTGGTTTCCCGTGTCCCATTTCTACAAGTGGAGTGACATTCATTAAGATAACCCAGAGGCGCAGTCTCCCACTTCTCCTTTGTGTTACTCATCACCTTAACACTGTGAACATGCCCACTGCATGTGTTAAAATACCCTGTTTCTTTCTGACAGATTAATGTGTGTTTAGTCAGTCAAATTTTCAATATTCTAGCTGGAAAACAAAGAAGTGTAGAAGCAAAAGCTTATTTTTCTTAGCATACAATATTTTGTATGTTAATTTCTAGTTATGGGGAACTCAGTAAAAAGTGTATATAACTGCAATTGATACTTCTACAGCATAAACTCCACACCTAGGGTTCAGGGACCATCATGGATGAGGGGAAAGAAAGAATATAAATGCTAGGAGACCAGGAAATATATTGTGAAATTTTATCTTATATGTGATAGGTAAGTTGCATTCATGAAGTCTCAAAAATACGATAGTTTAAATAAAATTTTCAACATGACGTCACTACTTGTCATGGTGATGAAAATGGGGAAAATCTCAGAGGGTCATATTCTGCAATTAGTAACTACAGGCAATTAATGACTGCTGAAAGATGGGGAATAATCTTTCCCAGAACAATCCCTGAGACCAACCCCAAGTGGTAAGTCATTAAAACGTATACTTATAAGCAATACTGAATACACTCAGAAGTTTCTGCTTGCATGATTTGTGTATGTATTGTGGAGTGGGTATGTGTGTGTACTGATAATAATGAAAGAAAAAGGGGTCATGAGTTTTAAGGAGCAGGGTGACATGGTAGCAATGTGATAGGGGAAGAAGAGGAGAAATGATATGAAGAGATTATACATCTAGAAAGTTCTCAAATTATCAAAAATATTTAAAGTATTTAAACGTTTAAATGGGATTACAGGCCTGTTTTACATATCATGCTAAACAGTGGCTAACACAGCAGGCTGTTTTTGGATGTGGCATAAATATTTTTATCATAACATGTTGTAGAGATTGCTCTTCAGAGAGTGATTCCATCTTCAAAACACAGGATTTTTAGGGCTCAAACAAAGTATTCATAACTGTCTGGAATATTTATGAATTACCGAAGTTACAAAGTTTATTGTTGTTATTTTATTATAGATTGATAGACAGTTTAAGAATAAAAAGTTAGGTAATTTCTTTCCTAGTATGTGAATAAATAGAAGTATCTCTTAAGAATAAGACATGGAATGAGTGTTATTTCACAAAGTATAATATTATTTTAGTGAATTCTCAGAAACACAGATCCTAGGATGCCTATGTTCTATTTTGAGTAAAAGTTCCAGAAATAGTAAACTTAATTTTTCTACTAACACAATCTTATTCAATATTTTAATACAAAATGTTACTCATAGTTACATTTAAAATATGTCTACCATATACCCAGCATTACTTTTTTAAATCAGAATTTCTCTATGTAGCCCGTACTTCTGGAAACTGCTGCATAGCCTAAGTTAGCCTTGAACCCTGTATGCTTGCAACTGCTCATATTACTGAGCTGTACTACCATGCCCAGTCCATGATACCCAAAATTAATCATTGAATCAGATAATTTGTTGCCCAAAGACATCAATTAGCTTTAATAATGACTAAGTGAATCTATGGAAATTGGGATTCCCCTCTTGGGATTCTTACTGTTATTAATAAAAGCATTTAAGAAAGGACTCAAATAAAAGCTTAAGGACAATTTTCTTAGATCTTTAAAAGAAAAATCCCCAGGAAGCAAAGATAGGAAACTCAGAAGCTGTCCAGAAGAGAAAATGTGTAAGATCAGAGTAGAAAAACTCATGGGTATCAGGGACATGGCAGACAAACAACTAAGTGGTGAAGGAGAGAGCTTTAGACAAGAGTAAAGAAGTCCAAAGTACCCAAAAGGCATACTTACACTCTGCCTAGCATTCCAAAGAAAAAGACTTAAGAAAGAGGGAGAGTCACAGCTCTGTCAGGCAAAAGGGTAGCCAGATCCAGCTGAACATCATGGCAACTGAAAGAGGTTATGATAGGAGTAGGGAATCACGAAAGGGAAAAATATGCTACTTCTTAAAAAAGATAATTGTTCCTCCTATCCTTTAAGCATAGCTTAAGGTGAACCTGACTTCCTGGGAGTGGTCCTACATTCCTGAGCAATGACATTCCCAACTGGATTGAACTAAAGAAATAGAAAATGGCAAGTCTCCACACAGAGGTAGGCTCCACTCCTTTCATTTAATGGTTCATTAATGCTTCTCTAATATGAAGACTATTAATTTTCTGATCATGACACTTAAAACTTGCTTAAAATAAAAAATTCTAACTAAAATGTGGTAGTAAATATGGTAGTTTATAAAGCATGTATTACTGCAGAGCTATGATAGTTACAGGCTCAGATGTTCCTGTTGACTCACCTTCATCCTTCTGCCATCCTTTACTTCTCTATGTAAACTGAATCCAAGGACATACTTGTGCTGTATAGATCACAACAAAGGCAGCAGACTGACATATCTGACTATGGTCTTGCCTTTCTTTTTCTCTCTTGTTTGCTCCAACCCAGTCTTTTGCAGTCTTGCTGTAGGGAAATACAAATGTCATGCAAGAAGCTCCATTATGGAGACACATAAGTAGCAAGAAATGGCTAGCAGCCACAGGGGATCTACAGCCTGTCCATAAACCCTTGAGTCAATACAGAAGCAGGTCTTTCTCCTGGTGTGCCTGATGATGGTGTTAGCCCACTAACACTTTCCACTAAACTCTGCAAACAGACACTTCACTAAATAGCTATACATCTGAAACACATAAATACTGATAAAAGTAAGTATTGTTTTAAGCTGATGTGTTTGTAGGTAACAATGCAGCAACACACAAACATGTCATCCTAAATTTAAATTTTCCATCCTAGAAAAATTAATTTTGCATACTAAGTGAATAATACCTAGGCAAAATACTTATGTACAGATAATACCTGGCTAAAATGATAATCAGAGCTATCCTCAGAAGAGAAACAGTTATAGGGAGCTGGAAAGCAAAGACAAAATGTAAGAAGAGGGAATTTCCTTGCTTTGCTTCCATAATGGAGACACTGTACTGGAATCCTCTGGCAGGCCCACAAGTGGGGACTCCCTGGGGAACCAGGCTGGCTCTTATCACAGTTGTTTCTGGGTCTTAACAGGCTACGTGGTTTCAGAATCTTCAGGAATTCCCTTAAATCATAATCTTTTTTAATCAATGACCTTGATATGGCTCCAATCCCAGCAGTAACAAGTTTATCATTTTATTGTCTTAATTAATTAAATTTGCAAGCAAATGCTAATAATTTGTTTTTCATTGCCTTTCTTAAACAAGCTCTCTTAGTATTTTTAGTACAATTTGGCAATGATTTCTATTTTTTAATCATCTAGGATCATTTTCCTAATTAAGTGATATTTTAATATCACATGACAACTTTGAGGATAAAATAGCAGTGAGTATTCAAAACAGTGGATAAATGAAAACTTTCAGAAGATGATTTTAAAATCTCATATTAAACAAACAACAGTAGTGGTGATCCTGTGACCAGACTCTGTTCCCCCTAATGGCCTTTCTGGCCTTTTTAAAAACAATTATTAGGACAGTAAGATAGCTCGGTGGATAAAATACCCTTATCACCTAACCTGACAACAGGATTTTAATCACTAGGTCTTACATGGTAGGAGAGAAATAACTCTACAAGTTCTCCTCTGATCCATAAAGCCATGGCTGGGTGCATGGATACCCTGGCATATGAATTATCTGCCCTCCAAATCAATAAGTACATGTAACACATTTTAATGAGATATATTTTTAAACTCCAGTTTTCTTCTGCTGCCGTTCCTTTATTGATCAAGGTTCAGTAGCAGTTGAAAAGAGGGAAGTAGGTGGGTGAGTAGGATCCCTAGATTAATGTATCTAAAAATCAGAGCCCTGGCAGCATTCTTCAAGTATGATCTTGCTCAGGAGCTTCTGTCTCCAGTGAATGTTACTGTGCTTTATTTTATGCACATAAAGCCTTACAATATAATCTTTCCCTTGGGAAGAAGGAAGTAGAAGACTTGTTTAACTCATATACCGACTTTCAACTATTGATCATGTTTGTGTTAAGGAGTCAGAAAGAATCAAAGTTAGAAGATTATTAACAATGATTGTTCCCCCTGAAAGAGGGTGGAGTATAAACACACAGCATTTGCACCCCTTTTTTCATCTGTATTGTTATCCAGTCATGAATATTACAGTGATTCAAGCACAGGAAATAAATCATCTGATGGTAGAGGGCTGAGACAAAGAACAGCTATAACATCTTTTTTTTGGTAAGTTTTCATTTGTTTGTTTGTTTTTTAAAATATTTTATTTATTTAATGTGTGTACAGCCTTCTGCCTGCAGGCCAGTAGAGAGCACCATATCTCATTCAAGGTGCTTGTGAAACACCATGTGGTTGCCAGGAACTGAACTCAAGATGTATGGAAGAACAGTCAGTGCCCTTAACCGCTGAGCCCCTCTCTAGCCCCCTATAACAGCTTTTAATTGGTAAAGTAACTTCTACCTTTCCTTGTCTCAATGGAGGTATTTTCCTTGACTTTACTGTATAGTTTGCCTAATCATATAATTCAGGTATGTGAAATGTGTGTTACACTAATAAGCACCTTCATTCATGAATCATTAATGATGGGCCTAAGTGGGAGGAGCAAAACATAAAATGGAAAGAGGTCAAAATAAGAGATGAACAGAAGTTTTGTTTCAAGGTAATAATTCCATTCCATTCCCTCTGACATGCCCTTAATATGAGTTGAATATGAAGATACCTACACATAATGTATAAAAGACAATGAATGGTAAAAGCAAAGTAGATACTTAAAATGTTGTAATACTTAACTTTAAAAATATCTTGCAATAATTAGTTCTCTGCTATTATGTTGCAGATTCCTTGAATAAATGATGACCCTCACATCTTTTCACTCAAACTCCTTTACTCTAGTTCTGTGTTGTCCTATTACACCCAAATCTGTCAGATCTGGAGAAGGAGCTATTAATTCTAATGGGTTGCATATTAGCACATCAACTCAAAGGAATCTTTCATATTGGAACTAATGGATCAGAGCCCTCTGCTTTTGTAGAACACACCTATATTCTCAGCATTTCCTAAGAAATCTTCAAATGTTAATTTATACAAAACTCATGTTGAATGTAGAAAGAAATGTGAGGAAAATTTTCACAAAATCTTTGCTGTTAACTAAATCTCTATTACTATGAGGTCTAGGTTTGTTTTCTTTTATTGCAAATTTCATAAAAATTTTCTTATTTCCCACCTTATTCTATTTTAGACATTTTTTAAACTGGTAACTTTGTATTGACTCTTCCTATGAATGTCACTACAGATAGGTAGAGTCACAAGGATTTTTATAAAGTGAAGTTTTTGCAGGTCTTATGGTTAATATTGTCAACTTGTTCTGATAAAGAAAAATATATGGCATTAGGAAAACTTACCTTTAGATGCATTTGTCTTTATAGAGAGGATTACTGGAAATGTGGGAAGATTACCCCCAAATGTGGCTGAGTCCCAGACTAAAGAAAAAGGGTAAAGGAGAAAGTCAGTCAAGTGATGGAATTCTCCTTTTTCTAGTTACATCTAGATGTGACAAACAGGCTCATGCTTCTTGTGCCACAATCAAGAACCCTTCCTGGTACCATGTTTTCCCTCTCAAGAAAGACTGTACCGTCAAAGTATGAGCCAAAATAAGCTTTCTTCCCATGACTTCTATCTTACAGAATACTTGATCACAGCAACAAGAAAGGGAGTAATTTGATAATATCTCATTATATTCTTAGCACATCATATATATGCAACAACAAAAACCTCTCAAGCCTCAGGAATATGTCTCCAGAGTTAGACCAGTCTCCGGGGTCAGGAGCCTTAAAGGCACCCATCCTCATTTAGTGGTAATGAGAAAGCATAGCAGTGCATTGGGATCTTCTAGCCGCAGCCCATAACTTTGGTGCCTTCTCCCCTCTAGACAGTAAAACCTTCCTTTTTATCTTTGAACAATAGTAACGGTAGTGATTAAGATCCAAATCTCAGAGTCAAAAGGAAAAAAATCTTCTCATAATGATAAAATGTCAAAGATTTCAGATAGAAAAATGATGGCATTTGAGTGTGCTGTGTTAGTCTCTTGAGATGGGTCAAGAGATACACAGACAATATTCATATGATTAAAAGGGACACTTTCCAACTCTTAAAAACCCATAATTTCAAAGACAGAATTCCTCAGGACTCAAAAGGGTATCTCATTCTATTAAGAAAACAATTCACATAGATTACTAGGAACTTTATATAATGAGAAACTAAGTGCTCAAGTGCTTCAAGTCACTGTTGATTAAGTAACAGAAATTACAGGGAACATTTGAAATTGTAATAATTGAATGACATTTACATATTGAATTTATTTTTCTTTTGAAATTGTCTAGAAAGTTAAAAACTTACTTGGGATAAAGACAGCAACTTACTCAGCTAAAACAGTGACTTGTGACTCTTTGGTGTCTCACCATTTGTCACCTTTTTGGCCACCCTTTCCATGTAGCTTGACAATACACACACAGATAGCTATACTAATAGAAGAATGATATAGGTACATGTTTCTCCTTGTATTTATCTCTTCTGATACCATCTACCTAGTCCAATATCCACAAATGCCATCACCTTGAGGCAGCTTCTCTAGTCTGTCCTCCACAACCTGCTTTCCAGCTTCAAATCCCATCATGCTTCCTTCCCTGAGCTCTCCCATTCACCCACTTTCACCTCACACTTCTACCTGGTCCTATCCACTCCCAATAATGACCGTTTGTAATCCACTCTTCACTTTCTCAGTTTTCTAATGATTAACTGCATGCCAACACTTTCTTTTTATTTCCTTCATCAATATGACCTTTTCATGTAATAATCTACATAAAAGTACATTCACATAGGCATGAAATACACAAGTACTGTCAGGATACAGATGTGGTAAGAAATAAAAAAAAACAATTAAAAATATCCTGCAGATGAAGTAAGCAGGGTTTTCTTTCTGTTGTATTTAATAATGACAAAGAATTTACTTTCTTTGCTACAAACATTGTGGATACTTTAAGGAGAATATGTGATTAAATATATAATAATTTAAAAGCTTTGTCCAGAATTCTATTTGCTGGGATAATTTTATACTAACGGCCATTATAGCCAAATAAAATTTACCTCAAAAAGATTGACCAATCACAGTTAATAGAGTTTAATGTGTAACATGAAGGACAAACTGGTTAGGTACTTCTGGCTTACCCACAATCTGACAGTATGATCTGCAGGATGCTGGTTAACTTCTCTCTGCCTCAGTTAGAAAGGAGTAAGGTAATTGCACCACACTCCATGGTACAGCAGTGTGTAGATGAATCTGTATGTGTAAGTGCCAACAGTATAACTCGTGTTAAGGAAGGGCTTTATCAATGCAGCTGTCATTGTGTTTACACATTCAGGAACATGCTGTATAACTTTGTATCTCCAACTGCAACCAAACCATAATGCTAAGAATTATCACACAATAAAAATACTTCAAGATTGATGCTAACTCTTCATCCTTGTAAATCATCGTTCTTACACATTTCTGCCTAGCTGCCACTATGTAAGTGTTTATAGCTATATAGTTTGTCTATACAATGTTTGAATTAGCCAAGTTGCATGCCCAATATATCATTTCTTAAAGCAAGTAGCACAAAATATTATTAATTTTATATTTAACTACTTAAACACAGGTTTCAAAATACCATAAGCTTGGGCATGCTAAAAAAAATACAAGTTTCTTCATCTAATGTCATGGCATACCTCCTGCATTGTCAGTTTTCTCTAATACTTGTTTTATTTGAGTATCAGGGAAGAAAATATGGTTTGTATATAGAGGAACTATTTACCAAGTCCCAGAACTCACAAGGTAGAGGCAGAGAAAACAAGTTCCCTCAAGTTATCCTCTGATAATCTACAGGCATGCCATGGTATATATTATGGACACACACATCTCTCTCTCTCTCTCTCTCTCTCTCTCTCTCTCTCTCTCTCTCTCTCTCTGTCAAAAAATAAGGTTAAAAATCAATTTTCCTTTCATTATTTTTATTACATTGTTTTAGAAAATAGCTTGCTTCACATGTCATTCCCAGTTCCCTCTCCCTCCCCTCCTCCCACCCCTCCCACCATATCCCCACTTCCTTCCACATAGGAGATATCCAGAATCTGTTCTTTTTCTCAGGGCAGGGTCCAGGCACTCCCCCAAGAGTCCAGGCTAAGGGAGCATCATCCCTCTTTGTGTTATGGACACATGAAGTCCATTTGTATGCCAGGGATAAATACTAAAAAATCAAATGTTAAAAATAAATTTTCCGCCGGGCGGTGGTGGCGCACGCCTTTAATCCCAGCACTTGGGAGGCAGAGGCAGGCAGATCTCTGTGAGTTGAGGCCGGGCTGGACTTATAGCCTCCAAAACAATACAGAGAAACCCTGTCTCGTAAAAACCAAAAAAATAAAATAAAAATTTTCTATGTCATGTCATATGTGTCAAATAGGAATAACATTAATTTGTGGCTAATTGTTCTCCATTCCATGTCTGATTTTAGCCATTTTCATTAGAATGCCCAATTCAAGATGATATTCTTTTTTTTCTAGATATTTTTAGACTAGAAACAATCTTATTTTACATATCAATTCCAGTTCACTCTACCTCCCACCCTCCCGAGACCCCCACCAACCCCCCACCCATCCCAACCCCCTGCTGCTCCCCAGGAAGGGTGAGACCTTCCATGAAGGATTATCAAAGTCTGTCACATCATTGCGGACAGTGCCTAGCCCCAATCCCATGTGTCTAGGACAAGAGAGTATCCCTTTATGGGGAATGGGCTCCCAAAGTCCATTTGTACACTAGTGACAAATACAGTTCTACTACCAGAGGCCCCATAGACTGCCCCAGCTTCCTAATTGACATCCACATTCAGGTGGCCTGGTTAGGGTTAGCTGTCAGTCTGGGGACCATGAGCTCCTCCTTCTTCGGGTCAGCAGTTACTGTGGGTTTCCTCAGACTGGTCTTGACCGCTTTTCATCACTCTGCCCTCTCTAAAATTGGATTTAAGGAGTTCGGGTCAGTGCTTAGCTGTGGGTCTCTGCTTCTGCTCCCATCAGCTACTGGATGAAGGTTCTACGATGGCATATAAGGTAGTCACCCATCTCATTATAGGAGAAGATATTTAAGGTAGCCTCTTCACTATCTCTTAGATTCTTGACAGGGGTCATCCTTGTAGATCTATGGACAGTTCCCTAGTGCTAGATTTATCTTTAAACCTATAATGGCTCCCTCTATGAATGTATCTCTTTTCTGGTTCTCCTTTATTCTTCCCCTGACTCAATATTCCTGACCCTCATATCCTCTTCCCCCCTCCTGTTCTCCCCTTCACATTTCCTAACTCACTCTTCCCTCCTCCTGTGCTCCTTTCTCCTTCTCCAGGGGACCCTGTATGTTGCTCTTAAGGTCATCCTTGTTGCCTAGCTTCTCTGCAGGTATGGATTGTAGGCTAGTAATCCCTTGCACTATATCTGGTATTCATATATAAGTGAGTACATACCATGTTTGTCTTTTTGTGACTGAGTTACCTCATTCAGGATGGGTTCTTCTAGTTCCATCTATTTGCCTGCTAATTTCAAGATAACATTGTATTTTTATTTTTTTGGTGAGTAGTATTCCATTGTGTAAATGTACCTCATTTTCTTTATCCATTCTTCAGCTGAGGGGCATCAAGGTTGCTTCCAGTTTCTGGCTATTACAAATAATGCAGGTATGAACACAGTTGAACAGATTTCCTTGTTGTATCAATATGAATCCTTTGGATTTATGCCTAAGAGTGGAATTACTGGATCTTGAGGTAGACTGATTCCCATTTTCCTGAGGAACTGCTGTGCTGATTTCCAAGTGGCTGTATGAGTTTGCACTCATACCAGCAATAGAGTAGTATTAGTCTTTCTCCACATCCTCTTCAGGGTAAACTGTCATTGCTGTTTTTGGTTTTAGCCATTCTGACAGGTGCAAGATGGTATTTCAGAGTTGTTTTGATTAGCATTTCCCTGATGGCTAGGGATGTTGAACAGTTTCTTAAGTGTCTTTCAGCCACATTAGATTCCTCTATTGAGAATTCTCTATTTAGTTCTGTACCACACATTTTAATTGGATTATTTGGTCTTTTGGTGACTAGCTTCTTGAGTTCTTTGTATATTTTGGAAATCAGCCCTCCATCAGATGTGGAATTGGTAAAGATCTTTTTCCATTCTGTGGGCTGATGTTTTGTCTTGCTGACTGCATCATTTGTCATATAGAAGCTTTTCAGTTTCAGAAGGCCCTATTTATTAATTGCTGACCACAGTGTCTGTGCTATTGTTGTTATGTTCAGGAAGTGGTTTCCTGTAACAATTCATTCAAGGGTACCTCCCACTTTCTCTCCTAAGAGGTTCAGTGTGGTTGGCTTTATGTTGAGGTCTTTCATCCATTTGTACTTAGGTTTTGTGC